TTGTGCTTATATAGAGAAAATGAAATTTGAGAACTTTCCTAACTCTTACGATCCTATCTAGGTTCATGCACACTTCACACTCAAAAAATTCAGCATGTGATAAGTTCAAATTTCCTATGGCACCAAGTGGATTTTTGTGGAATTAAATGCCTGGGTACAACCCCGACTCAATCTGGTAACATGGCTTGCTTGACCAGTTGACATAATATTTTCGTTTGTGTTTGTGTGTGAATTTATTTTGTTCTACAGGCACGTGTTAAAACTTAAAATTTGAATCAGCGAAATTCATTTATTTCATCAAAGAATCTCCTTAATTATGCATATTGTATAGTTCCCGTTTATCTTCTACATCCAATGAGAACTTGGTTATTGAGTTATAAGTCTACGGGATCATCTGTTGAAAAATTTTGATGTATATGATAATTAGAAATTTGATGTAATCAATCAAAATTTTTCAATTAGAAATGAAGAAAAATAAATGCAATGTAAGTTCAAAAATCTTCTCAAAATATATATCTCATCTAATGGATGATTGTAATAAATTAAGTACCAAGAAAGAGTAGAGAAACATTGACGAATATGATGATTTTACAAGTTTTATTCAATCAATCAAAGTTTTTAATATGAAAAAGTAGAATAAATATATGCAATGTAAGTTCAAAGATCTTCTTCAAAATATGTCTCTATTTTATAAGTAATAGAAATAAGTTAAGTACAAAATGGGAGATGAAAAACCTTGATGAAGATGATAATTAAAGGGTTTGAATCAATCAAAGTTTTTTATATGAAAAAATAAATTAAATGAATGCAAATGCAAGTTTAAAGAAATCTCTCAAAAGATATTTTACTTTGTTGCTCTTCAAAAATATTGTGATAAATTATAGAGTTCAAAACGTCAAAAAAATCTGTGAATTCGAATGACTTGTCCAGTTGACCGCATTTTGTTCGAATGGCTAATATAATAGTTTTTACAGTAAAAATCAAATGTCAAAATGGTCAAATTGTGGACCTTAGAAACTTCCAGTCGACCGCCTCTTTTATCCGGTCGACTGCCTCTTCTGGCCAGTCAACGGTCCAGCAGTTTCAGTATTTTTACGTTTTGGTCTTTTTTGCCGGAATTCGAAAGTTTTGAAAAGCATGGACTTTTGAAAAGTATTTTTAACTAACTTTCAGGATAAAAGATTTTTTTTCAAGTTTAAATATCATTTTTAAAAGTCATTTTTATATTTAATGAAATTGTTGCATTAGAATAATTTTTAATGCACAAAATTATTTTTAATGCATAGAAAGATTTTGAGCTTAAACATTCATTAACAAATATTGAAGTGTTAATACCTTTACACTTTATCTAAGAAATCAAGTACTCGATTTTGCTCCGAAATTTGACTCTTAAGTTCTTGAATGTGTAATTTCGATCTTGACCTCCTTTATAAGTCCAATTTGTGATGATAGTTTTTGATCTTTTGATGACCATTTATTAATTTTTCATAGTATGCTTTGAAAAATTATAATCACTTAAATTCAACTAGTTAGTAATCAAGATTAACTTATTTATTATAATAAAAATTTTAAGGTTTTAATTACCCATAGGTCAACACAATTTAATTGCCGTCTAAATTGATGATAAGCACCAGTAATGCTAAATAACACTATTTTTATAATTAGGCAAGAGACACTACTATTAGAAGTGTAAAAACATGTCAACCCATCCGAGGAATTTGCATGTCCGGTCTATTAAAATGATACGTGACGCATTCATTTTCTTTTTTTTCTAAATCAATTTTAAGGAAAAAAAATATATGAAGAATCTCCACAATTCTTAAGAACATGGCTTTTCCAATGTCAAACTTGGACTAAGCCATTTATAAATTAAGCAATTTTGAATTTAGACAATTCAACCCACCTTTATACCTCTAACAACATATATTATCAAAATGATATTTTGTAAAAAAAAAAATTGAATTTTAGTGAAAGCGTCTACGTAACAATTAAAAAAGTAATAATGTTATCTTGCTAGATTGTTATGAATAATTGTCATATAAGTTATACTACATGAGATTTACGACGTTTTGTCATAAATTGAACATTCCATAATTTTGAATGATTTTCATATAATAGATATGCTATTTACAACATTTTGTAAAGAACTAGGTTTAGGTTAATGGAACGATTGTCATATGAAATGGAATATTTATAATATTTTCTCATAAAATGAACATCCCATAATTTGTAAATGATTGGCTTATAATAATACATATGCTATTTCAACATTTTGTGACAAACTAAAGGCCCGTTCGATAAAGTTCTAAAACGTCATAACTTGCTTATAAGAGAAGAAGCTAATCCTAAACATGTTTGAATAATTTCTAGAAGGATTTTATTTGATTGAAAGATTTTATATAGAAAGTTGTCATAAGATAACTTATAAAGACTTCTACAAAAGTAAAGCAAAAAAGATTAAAAAAAAAAAAAAAACTTAAAAAGACTTCTAAAAAAGTAAAAAAAAAAAAAAAAAAAAAAAAAAAAAAAGTCATGACAACCGGGTCAACCCGTAGATACCGGAGCTCCCTCGAGCCAAGCTGCTAATGAGTTGACTCATTAAAAAAATTAATAAAATAAGCTCATCCGTTGACTGAGTCGAGATGAGTTGAACAGATGAGCCGTGTGTTCCATTTTTCATCCAAAGTCTAGGTTAATGGAATGATTTGAACATTCCATAATTTGTGAATGAGTGTCATATAACAATTTGTAAGAAACTAGGTCTAGGTTAATGGAGTGACTATCTAAACACATGTTACAAAATGGAACATGCCACAATTTGTGAATGATTGTCCTCCTATTTTAACATTTTGTAACAAAATGGGATTAGGTAAATGGACCACCTTTCCCCCAACTTTAATTTAGTGCAACTGTGGTACATAACAACTTTTGTCAGCATCCTCCACGCTAATAACACAAAAGTAGACTCAACGTTCCTATACCTACCACACGCAGTAAATGTACAAATTTTGGCACCCACGTGCTCTTTCACGAGTTCTATCTAAAAGTCATCATTTCAATTTTCAAAAAGGAAATTATTGATGACTTGGATCCAAAAGTGGCAAATTTCTTTCCATACCTTTTCGAATTTGAATTTTATGTTAAGCCTTTATATTCATTCTTTCTTAAAATGTGTAGAATAATCAATCATTAGGGATATATTTGATATATATTTATTAGATTTGATACTATGGCAAAAATATACATAATAAATATTTCGTTTATAATGACTTGTTTCCTTTACGAATTAGATCATGCCGTCATTGCCATTGTTGAGCATTGGCAAGTTCTTCGAGTACATAACACGCTCATGCACAAAATCTGAGGTATTTACTTGCTTTCTTACTTTCTTGATGCTAAAATTTGCAGATTCGTTCGTATGAATCAATCGTTAAAGGTATGTTTGGCGTGCTAAAATATACACGCACACGTGTTGCACACACAAAATTGCTCTCAATCCCTGGCCTCCTACGAAACATAGATTTGGCAATTTATGAGCACTGACAAGTTCTTCGAGTAAATAACACGTATATACACAACTATCTATTTCTTTTCATAATAATAATAATAATAATCTAATGTTAAGGAGTGTTTGGTATTCCAGACTACATAATTGAACTTGTACATTGAAAACATGCTCTTCCAGTGCCCTTTAAGGCTTTACATTCATATAATTTTTTCTCTTTTTCAATTACTTACTTTGAATCCCGACCATCTTCCATCTCCTAGATTCGACCATCACCGCGCACCAGCAAATTCTTCAAGTGTGTAAGCATAAATAATAATAATAAAAAGTAACATGCATATACAACTATAAAAATCAATGGCTAAACGTGCTTTTGGTATCTGATACCGTAAAACATGCTATCCCGAATGAATTTGAAAGGTTTCCATTTAAATAACTTACTTTGCCGATTCTCAATTTGAATCCTTGTTCTCTTTTTTTTTTTTTTTTTGTTTAATCCCAGTTCTCGTATGTCACCTAGATTCAATCCTCATTTTCGAGCATTGCCAAGTTCGTTAAGTACATAACACGTACATGAACACGTGTACGCACTCGAAAAAGGACACAAGCCACACTACCATGCTTTTGCTACTTAGAAATGAACAAAAATCTAAACGTATGCAAGCCACAAATTTAATGCATAATGAATTTTTATTTAGCATCTCACATGTGACATCAAATTTCTAACTTGTTTGCAGAAAAAGGAACAAAATAATGTATATAAAATTGGGTCATTCTTACAATATTCTCCAAGATAGAAATCTATATAATTATTTTGCAGACTTTCCAGATTCTGATCCCATATAAAAAAATTTCCATTGAAAATTCATACAAATTTATACAAATTACACAAGGACAGAGACAAACTAACATGTTTAGAATCTATTGATGTGACTTATCTTTTTTTTCTTTTATAATATTAATAATCATAAGCACATAGTCATACTGATACACCTCTATATAATAGTGCTGAGATTCCTCACCAACTTTATCGCGATTCATGTTTTCTTCATAATTTAACAGGTCTGTATATCCACAAGAATTTATCCAGTCCTAGATACATACAGATTAATATATCTATGTAAATAAATGTAGCAATAAACAGAATAGCCGACTCTAAATTTATTGGGAATAAAACTTAGTTTGTTAATTTTTGTATTACATTGATGAACATTTTTTTATCTGTTTCAGGTTCAGTTGTGATGGATATCTCTCTGAAGTTAATTCATATAGCATTTTTTCTGTTCTTACTGATATGCCTTCTGCTGGATGTCTTCAAAGAAAGGAGGAATCATGGAGACAAGCAGTCATTGAAAAGTGAATTTGGCCAACAATCAACGGTTTTCAGCAAAATCACTGTTACGTTGAATTTCATCATTAGCATTTCTTATCTGGGTTTTTTTTTTATGAAATTTGGAAGGATGGGACCCCCTCTCTTGAGTCTGTTTTCTCTGTTATGACTTGGACCTTAGCAAGTCTGGTTTCAGTCTATTCACTATGCAAAACTTCAAGGAAACACAGAACATGGCCATTTGTGCTTATTCTATGGTGGTTCTTTTCAAGCATTTGTAACTTACTTCTGGCTTCAGTTTATATCCTCACTCTATTCAAATCAATTGAAATCTCAAACTTTCTGCCAGAAGCCAACATTATTGATTTTGGTTCACTTCCATTGTCAATTCTACTTTGTCTTAATGCTTTGCCTAATAATTCTGCACATAAACACAATATGACTACACAACCATTACTTCAAAAGGAGTTGGAGAAGCAAGAAAAACACAGAAACACATTTTCTGATGCTGGAATTTGGAACCAGTTAACATTCAGGTGGTTGAATCCACTGTTCAAAAAAGGCTGTGGTGAAAAAATTGAATTAGAGCACATACCTTCAATTCCTCTGTCTGAAACTGCTGATGAAGCTTCTTCCTTGTTGGAACAGTCTCTGCGTAAACAGAAAACTGAGACTATCTTGTTGCCCAATGCCATTTTCCATTCTATACGGAGGCCCCTAGCTATGAATGCAGTTTTTGCAGGTATTATTCTGTTTTCTTTGACACTTTAAATTAGTTTTCCCATAATAGAAATTTGAATGATTATTTTGATGTTTTTAGGAGTCAATACAATTGCTTCCTACATAGGGCCATTGTTGATTACAAGCTTTGTTGACTTTTTATCAAAAAAGGATGACAAAAGTTGGTACAATGGGATGGTTCTTGCACTTGTTTTCTTCTTAGCAAAGACTGTGGAATCACTATCCCAGAGGCAGTGGTATTTTGGTGCCCACCGTCTAGGTATAAGAGTCAAGGCAGCTCTAATGGTCTTAATATACAAGAAATCTTTGTCAATCGAGTGTGGTAGCATGAGCAATGGTAATATTATTAATTTTCTCAATGTTGATGTCGAGAGGATTGGAGACTTTTGCTGGTACTTCCATGGAATTTGGTTGCTTCCAGTTCAGGTTATATGTGCCTTGGTTATCTTGTACAAGAATTTAGGAGCAGCTCCGTCACTAGCTGCTCTTATCATGATGATTATTGTGATGATAAGCAACACCCCACTTGCCAATATGCAAAAAAGATTCCATACTAAGATAATGGAAGCTAAGGACTCGAGGATCAAATCTACTTCTGAAACCCTAAAGAGCATGAGAGTCTTGAAGTTGAATTCATGGGAATCCAACTTTTTGAAGAAGCTACTTAAACTGAGGGAAGTAGAAAGGCATTGGCTCAGAAAGTACTTATATACATGTTCTGCTGTGGCTTTTCTCTTTTGGGCTTCACCAACATTAGTGTCAGTTGTTACCTTTGGTGTTTGCATTATGTTGAGAACGCCATTAACATCGGGCACAGTTCTATCGGCACTGGCAACTTTTCGAATCCTTCAAGAACCTATTTACAATCTCCCTGAGCTTATTTCTATGATTGCTCAGACTAAGGTTTCAGTTGACCGGCTAGAAAATTTTATCATAGAAGAAGATCAGAAGAGATTGATAAACTTTAATAATTTCAGCACACCTGATGTGGCCATTGAGATTGAAGCCGGAGAATACGCATGGGAAAATAAAGATGCGAAAATACCCACAGTCAAGATAACTGAGAAAATAAGAATAATGAAAGGTTACAAGGTGGCCATTTGTGGTTCAGTTGGATCTGGTAAAACAAGTTTTCTCTGCAGTATACTCGGTGAGATACCTAGGATTTCGGGGTCAGGTATCCAAACCTATGGATCAAAAGCTTTTGTGCCACAAAGTGCTTGGATCCAAACGGGCACTATCAGAGAGAATGTCTTGTTTGGCAAGGAAATGAATCAAACAGTTTATGAAGGTGTCGTCGAAGGATGTGCCTTGAACCATGATATTAATATGTGGGCTGATGGAGACTTGACTATGGTGGGGGAGAGAGGGCAGAACTTGAGTGGTGGACAAAAGCAGAGAGTCCAAATGGCACGGGCAATTTACAGCAACTCGGATATATTCTTACTTGATGATCCTTTCAGCGCCGTTGATGCACATACTGGGGCTCATATGTTCAAGGCAAGAAATATCTTCTACTATACATGATTAACTTTATTATGCATGACACATCATATTTCTTACATGACTAATCAAATATAGCTTCAATATTATGCAGAAATGCCTTATGCAACTCCTGCACAATAAGACTGTCATCTATGTTACTCATCAGTTAGAGTTTTTGGATGCTTCTGACCTTGTTTTGGTAAAGCTATATGAACTCAGAGAAGTGTATTTTTTTCCCCAAGGAAAATATTCCCTTTTTCTTGGGAAATAAGAAATTGAAACTATTAAGACCATTAATAATTATGGGCACATATTTTTTATACAGGTGATGAAAGATGGCAGAATTGTTCAATCAGGGAAATATAAAGATTTGATTGCAATGCCTGATGGTGAACTCATCAGACAAATATCTGCTCATAAGAAATCTCTGGATCAAGTGAACACTCCAAAAATGTGTATCAGCTTAGCTGAGAAGAAACATGATTGTAATGAAATCGAAGTAACTGAAGATAAAATTGAAGAACTTACTGGCTTTAACCAGGTTGCAGGCAGGACTTGGCAAGAAGAAACAGAAACGGGTCGTGTGAAATGGCATGTGTACTCCACTTTTATTATATCTGCATATAAAGGAGCCCTTGTTCCACTTATCCTTCTGTGCCAGGTTCTCTTCCAGGGGCTGCAAATGGCAAGCAATTACTGGATGGCCTGGGGAACAGAAGAAGGAAGGGTTACAAGAGAGCATTTGATTGGAATATTTTCTTTACTTTCTGGCGGAAGCTCCTTTTTTATTTTGGGAAGAGCAGTTCTTTTGTCTAGCATTGCCATTAAAACGTCTCAGCACCTTTTTCTTCAAATGATAACATCTATTTTCCGGGCACCATTATCATTCTTTGACACTACACCTTCAAGCAGAATTCTCAACAGGGTCTGTATTTTTGCTATTATCCAATATAACTGCCTTGTACTTTCTTGTTTTGCACTTCACTTCACGTTGAAAGTATTTTAAATCGTGTTCTTGATTACCAGTCTTCAACAGATCAAAGTGTAGTGGATACAGATATTCCATACAGGTTAGCCGGATTAGTATTTGCGCTTATTCAGCTGTTCAGCATTGTGGTGCTCATGTCCAAAGTCGCCTGGCCGATCTTTTATATCTTCGTCGTTGTCTTTGCCATCTCCACTTGGTATCAGGCAAGAACAGTCTCCCCATTAAATGTTAACTTCATTCCCAATATGCTGACACCAACTTAACCGAAATGCTTATTGAAAGAAAAGGAACAGATTTATCAAAATATAAACAAATCTTCTTGTAATCTTCTAATGCATCAAATCTTGATGCAGACGTACTACATTACCACTGCGAGAGAATTAGCTAGGATGGTTCCAACTCAACGGGCTCCAATTCTCCATCACTTTTCAGAATCAATCCTTGGATCAGCAACAATTCGTTGTTTCAATCAGGAAGATCGCTTTTCAAAGAAGAATTTAAACCTCGTTGATGACTATTCTCGTGTTTCCTTTTACAACTCTGGCACAATGGAATGGCTCTGTGTTCGGATCAACTTTCTATTCAACCTCGTCTTCTTTCTTCTTCTGATCATCTTGGTCAACCTTCCAAGGTCAGCCATTGATCCCAGTAAGCATCCTTTCCCTTTGCTTTCCTTTTATTGGGTAGAAAACAAGATTACACTCGCCTATTTGTCAGCAAAAGATAACAAAAACAGTCAAGTTAAATGTACTTTCAGTAACGATGATAAAATTATATGAATCGATTCATTGGTGCAGGCCTGGCAGGACTAGCAGCTACCTATGGTTTGAATTTAAATGTTCTCCAAGCATGGGTTATATGGAACCTTTGCAATGTAGAGAACAAAATGATCTCTGTGGAAAGAATTCTGCAGTTCACTGCAATACCCAGTGAAGCTCCACTAGTTCTTGACAATTGCAGACCAGAAACTGATTGGCCGTTCAATGGAAAAGTTGAAATCGAAAATCTCCATGTGCAATACAGGCCTACTCTTCCTAGAGTTCTCAAAGGGATCACGTGCACCTTTCCAGGTGAAAAGAAAATCGGTGTTGTGGGACGAACTGGAAGTGGAAAATCTACCCTGATCCAAGCTCTCTTCCGGGTTGTGGAGACCTCAGAAGGACGCATAATGATTGACGGAATAGATATCTCGAAGATAGGTTTACAGGATTTGCGGTCGAGATTAAGTATCATCCCACAGGATCCAGTTTTGTTCCAAGGAACCGTGAGGACAAATCTTGATCCTCTGCAGGAGCACTCAGACCAAGATATTTGGAAGGTAATGAATCAAAATGAAACAAAAGTCTTTTCCTTGTAAGAATTTGATAGAAGACAATCTGATTTTCCCTGAAATGATGTGGTAATCCAGGTTTTGCACAAATGTCATATTGCTGATGATGTAAAGCAAGATCAAAGGCTTCTAGACGCACCTGGTATCAGCCATGACAAATTCTTCAAAAAAGAACTACATTTTCATTTGAATTGATAATTTTCCTTTCCCTAAACTTTGAAAAATTGTGCAGTTGCTGAAGATGGAGAAAACTGGAGTGTAGGGCAAAGGCAGCTTGTATGTCTGGCAAGGGTGCTGCTTCAGAAGAGAAAGATATTGGTCCTGGACGAGGCTACTGCTTCAGTAGACACAGCAACTGATAATCTGATCCAGAAAACAATAAGAGAAGAAACAAACAGATGCACAGTTATAACAGTAGCTCATCGCATACCCACTGTGATTGATAACGATCTCGTTCTGGTTCTTGGAGAAGGTATAATCAACACAAAATCGAAATGAAAACTGAATCAGTAAAATCATAATCGAGAATATACGAACATAATGATATATTTTTCACTAGAGCAATCTTTGGTTGATGCAGGGAAGGTTTTAGAGTATGACTCTCCAGCTCAGCTGCTAGCAGATAGTCCTTCTGCATTTTCAAGTTTGGTAATGGAATACGTGGGAAGATCAAAAGGCAAACGATAATGAGATTTGATTTTGTCAGGGGATTCAAACAGTTTATGACTTTTTCATGTACAGGTGACAAACAAGGACATAGAGTAGAAAGAGCTCTTGCTTACTAGAAGCAAAACTGGGAAAACAAAGACAAAAATAAAAGATGGATGAAACCACTTTGCAGGATGATTCAGTGACTCTTGGTTGTATGCATTTAAATGTTCATTACTTACTGCAACATCAATTTCAATTGACTAACATCGATCGGGTAGGACATTAGCAATGTTGCTAATTTATAGTACTAGATCAGTAATCTTATAGACAGCTTATTAGAAGATAAATATATTGAAATTTCAATTTTTTTTCTTATACAACTGGTGGATCTCCTAGTCATTATAAGAAACTCAGGAAGTCTGGCAAGCATGAAATTTCAAATTTCATTGCAGCAAAAGCAAGTGACGATGTTTTAGATCCATTTTATGCATAATATAAAGGATGAAAAGTTCATGGAAATATAAAATCAAAACCTCCCAATTTCTCCAAGTATTTTTGTATATTTTTTTCTGTTAAATCTTCAAGTTAATATTTCCAGAAATTGAAACTGATTGCAGAATATAAAAATTCTTCAAGTAGATAATCTGTACATTTTGAAGTTGGATACTACCATCCATAGCATAAGGTGCTAAAAGCACTTGATACCTCACACACTGTAGATTATGCATTAAAGTTGTTAGTGAAATCTACACATTCTGACCTTCACTTTTGTCACATGTAGTTTCAGAATAAACCTTTCAATCAACCAAAAACATAGATAGTTATGTACATCCTCTATATTCAGTATGCAAGTATAGGAATGATTAAGAATTAAAGGGCCAGCTAGAAATTAGCTAAAGAATTGAAAAAAATTCCATTGCTTAAGACCATCAAACACACTGTTGAAATCCAAGTTCAAAAAACCAAAAAGAAAGTTTCATTATTACAACGAACTAATAGAAAGAACTAACAATTTGGTGCTTAAATTAGGGACTTTATACTATAACTGTTGATTTTTATACTCTTCATTTAGACTGTGTAGTCTTTACGTTTCCATAATGTGCCCTCCAAGAACAGTATATAACCAAAATTCTCGGTAAACTTGAAGATCAGCTATGTAAATCCTTCGTCGTTCACACAAAACCAACAAAATTCGATACTTTACAACTAAGTTCGGCATATTATATTGTCCTCTTATAAATTGTTCTAATGGGATCGCTCATTAACACTTGATTCTAATCATTGGTCAAGACTTTAGCCCAATAAATCGTAACAAGTTATACTCTGAAAGTTTATATTTTATAGGCATATAGAAAAAGCCTGAAATTCCACATCTATAAATCATTTATTTGGAAAACTGTAAGCTAAATATACCAAATTGCAGAATGGAGAGTATGGAATGTTTCAATAAAAAGATACTCCAATATTTATATTTAATAGTGGAAGATTATCAAAGCTACTACAATATATGATTGATTTAATTCTATCATTTAGAAAGTGTACACATTTATTTATTTAAATGTAATCTAACATGGGCACAAGTTTAAATCCTCTCTTCAACAACTTAATGATTCCAAATTGACAATGGCCGTAAGAAAATATAAATTGATGGTAAAGAAATGTAAGATGATTTACCTCGAGCTTGCGAATAACAAGAGAGAAAGCACGGTTTTTTCACGTAGAATGCGAGTTCTCTATTCTTCTCTATTGGATTCCAACCCTGGTCCAATATTGGTGCTTCCACAACTTGGGTTGAAAACGTGTGTGAGAAGTGCGACTTTATTAATGAAGCGTTTTTAACTGGATGGAGACACGTGGCTCTGTCTTGGCTGTTGATTGCTTGATTCTTGATGGTTCTATTATTTGCTTGTACCGTTTCACTTGGAACTTGAGGATTTGCTCATTTTGACTGCTGGCTATTGGTTTTTAGAGATAAACTCTCTCGACTACAAGGGTTTCTTCTTTTATGTTTTTTCATCTGTCAAATTTCTGAATTGAGACTTATGATCTGTAATATTTAGCCTCTAGTTTTTGATATCCTAAGTGAATATTTGTAAGAACGAGAGCGTTCTTTTGAATTACTATTTTCAGAGGGTTTGAGAACATTCTTAATGATTCTTCATAGATCAATCATTGTGTTTTAAGAAATAAGTGTTCTTGTACTATTTTGTGTATTGGTTAAACATTTGTAACATTTCGTTGCCATTTTAAGCTATTTAGTGCAATTGAGCATAATTTAATTTATTTAGTGCAATCGAGCATAATCTAATTTATTGAATGCCCAATGGGGAATGTAGTAGTTGGAAGTGGTCGCCAAACCTCCAGTGCTTATGCCGAAAGAATGGCTTGTACTGAATCTTTTAATTTCTGCACTTTTATTTTCTGTAGGATCGTTTATTATTGCTTCTCAAAGCTAATATCGTGTGAACCTGGTCCTTAGTGATATCAGAGCCATTACTGAGGAGCAATATACCTGGATATTGGAGAAACTGGTTGATCTGCAATAGATCTGAAATTTTTGGAACTACTGTCAAGCAAAATTGAAAGAAAACAAGTTTTTCAATATCGCTAGGTGAGATCTTTTAATTTTTGTGAAGTTTACTTTTCAGAAATTAGGGCTTCTTGATTTTTCCCTTGATTTACCATACACAATAACTCTCTTAAGATTAATCTTTGTCCAAAGGCTCCTACGAGACCTTGGCAATCTGAGATAAATTAAACACGAGTGTGTGTGTACCTCGAGGATCTTAAAGGAGAAATCTCTGTAACATAGTATTGTGATATTTGTTATTGTGTTTTCTTTTGAGTCTTGATCTGCATGTTCTCTGTGTGTGCTTAAAATTTGTGAAATCTTGTTTTACTAAGTGTATTACTGTGATTTGTGATTGACACCAATTTGTATTCTTACCATTCTTTGCAAATCTGTGAAAATTATCTTAAATCTGTGAGTCATACTTGCTTATAATATGGCTTATGATCAATATGAAATTAGTAAGTATGATGGAAAATGTGATTTCAATATGTGGAGTCAAAATATGAAGGNATGTGATAAAAAGTATTGGTGAATACTTGCTTATAATATGGCTTTTACTAAGTTTGAAGTTAGTCAATTTGATAGAAAATATGATTTCAATATGTGGAGCAAAAAAATGAAGACGGTTTTAATGCAAATGAGATGTGTTAGGGCTCTAGATGATAGTTGGCCCGCTGACTGACTTTCTGCAAAGAAAAATGAATTTGAAGAAGTAACTTGGAGCACCATTTTCTTGTACTTGTCTAAAAATGTGATAAAAAGTATTGGTGAAAAAAACTGCTTCTGAATTATGGACTAAATTCCATGCTAAATATGTGACAAAAACTACTCCCAACAAATGTTTCCTATTGAAATAATTCTTTTTATTTTAAAATGGATTCCTTAGTTGATTTGGATGAGAACTTAAACAAATTTACAAAACTTACCCAAGACTTAGCCAATTGTGATGAAAAACTTTCAAAAGATCATATGGTTATAGACTTGTTAAGCTCCATTAGTAATTGATTTAAAGACATCAAGGTTGTTCTAGAGTATTGTAGGGAAGAACTTACAACTGATATTATAATTAATTCCTTAACAAATAAGGCTTTAGAGATGAAAGCCGATTTTAGTAATATTCAAAATTGAGATAATTTTTTAGTAAAAGAAAAAGTTTTGGTAAATCAAATTATTACTCTAACCTTTTATTGAAAATAAAAATAAGTTGAGTGATAATTATAAGTCAAAAAATAAGGCTAAAGGCAAGAAGTGTTGTTATCGTAGGAAGTTAGGTCATTTTATTAAAGATCGTTTTAAGGAAAAAATGATTCAAAAGAAAAGATGTTGGATGATGGAAGTAATGCTATAGTATATAATAAAGCTAAACCTAAATTGGTCTAATCCTTGTTAATGTAGAAAAACAATTGAGTGGTGAATGAATACTTGACTCAAGTTGTTCCTTCTATATGTGCCCAAATAAAATTTGTTTTCTTGATTTTGAAAAAACTGCTCGATGTCAAGTTATAATGTGAAAAAGGTACTACAATATATGATTGATTTTATTCTATCATTTAGAAAGTGTACACATTTATTTATTTAAATGTAATCTAACACAGGCACAAGTTTAAACCCTCTCTTCAACAACTTAATGATTCCAAATTGACAATGGCCGTAAGAAAATATAAATTGATGGTAAAGAAATGTAAGATGATTTACCTCGGGCTTGCGAATAACAAGAGAGAAAGCACGTTTTTTCACGTAGAATGCGAGTTCTCTATTCTTCTCTATTGGATTCCAATCCTGGTCCAATATTGGTGCTTCCACAACCTGTGTTGAAAACTTGTTTGAGAAATGCGACTTTAAAAATGAGGCGTTTTTAACTGGATGGAGACGCGTGGCTCTGTCTTGGCTGTTGATTGCTTGATTCTTGATGGTTCTATTATTTGCTTGTACCGTTTCACTTGGAACTTGAGGATTTTCTCATTTTGACTGCTGGCTATTGGTTTTTAGAGATAAACTCTCTCGACTGCAAGGGTTTCTTCTTTTATGTTTTTTCATCTGTCAAATTTCTGAATTGAGACTTATGATCTGTAATATTTAGCCTCTAGTTTATGATATCCTAAGTGAATATTTGTAAGAACGAGAGGGTTCTTTTGAGTTAATATTTTCAGAGGGTTTGAGAACATTCTTAATGATTCTTCATAGATCAATCATTGTGTTTTAAGAAATAAGTGTTCTTGTACTATTTTTGTGTATTGGTTTAACATTTGTAACATTTCGTTGCCATTTTAAGCTATTTAGTGCAACTGAGCATAATCTAATTTATTTAGTGCAATCGAGCATAATCTAATTTATTGAATGTCTAATGGAGGATGTAAGCGTTGAAAGTGGTTGCCAAACCTCCAGTGCTTATGCCGAAAGAATGGCTTGTATTGAATCTTTTAATTTCTGCATTTTTATTTTCTGTAAGATCGTTTATTATTGC